AAATCAGCAAGGGGTCAAATACTTATTTCCCCCACTGTAACTGTCTTTCCATCAGAAATAGCTTTTATGTTTTTTTTCTGCTCGTTCAGATGTAAAGGACACCATAACCGGGACAAGATGGCAGCTATTGATATTTTTAACCCTATAATGCCAAATGTATCATATTTGATACGTATGGTTTCTGAAATGTTTTGCGTCTGACACCTTTTGCTTAATTTAATAGTAAAAACTTTGCTCAAAATCCTATTGTACACAATCAGATACACCTGATAACAGGGGGCAGAAGACTACACAAAAAATAATCTGGACTTATCGCATTGTAATAAATTATCATTATAAAAAAGTATTTCTATTTTTTCTTTTGACATATTTTGTTAAAAGGCCAAATAAGGAATTCAACCAAAAAAAAAGTAATTTTCTGTTTTGTTTTATTCCTGGATCAGGCTTTAAAGGGTGAAAGGGTGTCTGACATGAAGCCATGCATCTATAATAATGGAAACAAATGCTCCGAAGTGCGCTTTAATCTGAGGAAGACGGATAAGACCAGAGTATCTAATATCAGGGGCCAGTGGGCCAATCATCTCCCAGCAAGGACTTCCTAATCGGACCATTTTCGAAAAAGAAAACCTGAGATTTGTGGGAGAAGGCCAACATCTTGGGCCAGACTTCTTCCACGGTTGCTGTTCACACTTGTACATGGGGGGGTCGGGGGAATTTTTTGTTGGATAACATAAAGACCGGGAGGCAGTCCAAGTCCCACAGAAAGCACAAAAGCAAAAAAAAAAACGTGGAGAGCTCCAAATGCGTCTGAACGTGATCGATGAGCTGTGAGCAACAAACAGCCAGCAGCACATTAACCAAAACTTTCACACCCAATGATGTCAAAACAGCTCCGATTTGGAGTTTAAACATAGAATAAGAGGAAAAACGACAAGATATCTTCTTTGAATGTGAGACCCGTCTAGTGGCTCCATCCCATCTGTTCCTTTAACCAGTCAATGCTTGCTTTAGTTCATTCTATTCTGCTCAATTTGTGTCCAGATGCCTGTTTATTTCAGTTTAATGTGTAAAACATCAGAGGAACATCATGGCTATAACATGGAAAAGGCCAGTTAATGTTAATATCCTTATCAGCGAACACCTCATTAGGCCTCATTAGGCCTAAATGTCCTTTCTTTTCTGGATGTTTTCCTAATAGGAAAGAATGATAATGTGTCTGTGTGCAGAAACCCGTTTGGTGACACACAGGTGGAACATTAACTGGATGCTTAAAGCAGCTCCAAAGCAGTCAATACCCCCAGCCCTAAGGGGTTTGAGATAAAGGTGAACAGGAGATTAGATGGGAAAGGCTCTCAATCCATGAGTCATGATAAATATAAGGGAATTGACACCCCTTGTAATAAAAGTCTATCTTTAAACACCACACATGTTCAGGCGGCTTTCCCTGAATATTCATTTCAAGTAAAGGAGCAAAAAACCTGGATTTCAATAGAAATTTTAGCCCTCAAAGTACATATGACATCGGTCCCACACATTCATAACT